AAACGGATTTTTTTTTTTTTTCAAACGACAGAATAATCTCCGGAAAATTTTATAATTGCCCATTTATAAGCAGTGTTCTTAAAGTCGCTAGGCGCCTGCTAGGCGCTCGATCAACGCGTAGAATGTTTAGTCGGGGCCTAGAATTCAATATTAAATACCATATTTTTTTTTTATTTTAACTACCCACAAAATAAAATTATCTCAACTTGTAATAAATCGACATACCTAAGTCCAAATAATAAAATTAATATATTTAAAAGAAAATATGAGAATAAAATAATGTAACTAGTATTTAAAAAGATAAAAAAAACTACAAAATTGTCGCCGAGCCCGCCTAGGAGCGCCTAGGTCCGCCTATGCCCGCCTATGCGCCGCCTAACCACCTGGCCACCGAGCCTGCCAAGTCCGCTTAAGAGCGCCTAGGCCCGCCTAGGCGCCGCCTAACCGCCTGGCCGATTTTTTCTGGCGATTTGTGCAAATCGGAGGCCCTAAACGGGCTGAAAGATCTCAAGATCACAAATACAAAGTCTGATGTACATCAAGTCCAACGAATCCAAAATTGACAGGAAAGGAAAATGTACAATGAAAGGTTGGCAACTGCAGAAAGATTACAAAAAATAAGAGATCCTGGTCCGGGGGGATTCTGACAAAGAAGTCAGTGATTATAAGACTAATATTCCACAGCAATTACCACACATACACAATACCAAATATACTTCAAAATTGGACAAATTAAGGCACACACAAAAAATTAAAAGACTTAATTCAAAAAATTAAATTAATAACCATCTACTCTCTCATCCTATTTTTTTTCTTTCTTCTTTCTCTCTCCTACTTCTCTCTTCATGTTCTTCTTCTTCTTCCCTTTTCTTCTTCTTTCATGTTTTCTCTTTCTTCTTCTTCTTCTTCTCCAAATATACATGCCTATAGAATTTAAAAAATTGATAAAAGAATATACATACAAAATTTAATTCAAAGTAAGTGGTCGATTGAGCAACCACAAAAAAAAAGCACATCTTACCATGTATGTGAACAAAGGCGAAGTTGTACTAGGTCCAGGGGGCCCGTGGACCCCCCTGATTTTTTAAAATCATTATGTATATAATATGTATAGAAATTTAAAAAAAAAATACAATATACTAATAAATAAAACTTATTTTTATGCTATTTTATAATAAATTCATAATATTATTTATTTATTTTAAATTTATTAATAATCCTTATACTTTACATTTCTAGAGTTTTTGAAAATATAATGTTTTACACTTTCGGTCTTTTAATTGTAAATCGATTTAGTGATTTATAAAACTCAGTATTTAGTTAACATTATTTTAATGTTGTTTTTTTGAATTTTTTTTATTCCTCGTGTAATAACATATTTTTAAATTTACTTATTATCTATTTAAAAAAAAAAATCATTTGATAAGCTCTCATAAAAATGTTATGCAATGTGCTGCAAAATGTTCAATTTAAATCAATTTTTCAACAAAAGTATATATTTTTCCATAAACTGTATGTTGAACTTAAATTATAAATACATGAAATCTCATATTTTTTTGTTTACTTTTTTAGAAGTTTGAGTGTGATACGGATTCTATGTTTTTAAGAACTTCATGATTATATACATATTCATATTTATATTATAAAAATTAAATATATTGTTATATTAAATGAGCATTCGACTTAAACTACAAGCTCGTTATAACATTTAAATTGGGCCCTCCTGAGTGAAATTTTTAGATCTGTCACTGTATGTGAATCGTGTATGTGAACAAGAGAAAAATAACAATAAAATACAATTTTATGTGCAGCAACAACAAAAAAAAAAAAAAATGACAAAACACCTATCCAACATCATATAAACAACAAGGAATAAACAAAAGTTCAATCAAATTTTTGGTTAAGATTTAGGCTAACCAATAAAAAAATGGACGACAATTGCACAAAAAATAGAGAAAAATAAAAAGAGAAAAAGTACATAAAATCGAACACCCAAAAGAATAATCAAATTCCATTTCAATGCCATAAAATAGAAAGAAATTAGCAAAACTAATCACAAAAAAATCAACAACACAAACCAATCTAGTGTTTTCATTTAAAGTTAAACATAAGCAACACATTTAAAAAAAAAATAATAATAATAAATCACCTACAAAATCAACAACACAAACCAATATAGTGTTTTCATTAAACTTAAACGAATTGTACACAAACTACAAGACCACAATTTATCCTCTTAGAATACTACAATAATTATATAAAATTATTCATGTACCATTTGTTTTGCTTTATTCTCTTAAAATATTCCATTTCTTCTCTCTTAGAATTGTTCCTTCTTCATCTTGTGCTAATCACTCCATCATCTCCTTCTGAAGTTCGCAGCTTAGGTTGAGGCTTTAGGCCCTCCACAGCGATCGCGAATCGGGAGCGGCTCCGAGTAGTAAAAGATGTGAATTTCAACTTTAAATTCATAAGAAAGAGATATACAACAACCCTAATTTTATTGTTGGGAATAACGATAATAAATAAAAAAATTGAAAAATAATATCTTTTTTTTTTTTGTTTTTAAAGAGTATATCGCATGAATTTAGAAGAAGAAGAAAAAGAAACTAAAAAGAAACTCTCACTTGCCGAGAATACACAACTCAAAAAACAAAGAAAAAATACAAACACATACTAACGAACACCAACACACAAGAACTACACTGCAAACCAACAGAATAGATACTAAGCTAAAGTCCTCCTCCATCAACATCAAACAACCTCTCACAGCCACAAAAATGGACTTGAGGGCAACTTCCCAAAGCGGGCAGTAAACTAGACCAAAGCTTAAATAAAATATTACAGTATTTCTACGCCTAACTAGAGTCGAGCTAATGGCCAAAACCCCCCCTTACAGGAAGACTACCCCTGGACCAAAGCCTAAGACCAGCTCAAAAAGCCCACGCCACACTAACGGGAAACCAAAGGCCGACAAGCAGAGTTGTTGAGGTTAATTCAATCGAACACCTGCCACCAGAGCCACTGACCCACACACACCAGCTAGCCCCAGAACGATAGGGAAAACAAGGGTGGAGAGCCAAAAAAATTCCTGATCCTCTAACCCTTCCTACCACCGGCGAAAACTCGCTCAAACACCAAGAAAATCGGAAAGCAAGGAGAAGAACGAGCTTACCTTCACCTCGACCACCGCAATGCACCGATCAGAGAAAACCACCCACCACACCGCCCGACTCCTAACACACATTTAAGTAAGAAGGCAACCTGCAAGACTGCGAAAACCTCCAGCTGCGAGAGCCACGACTCAGCGAAGTAAAAGCTTATCACTAAAATAGACAAAAATAAGCAATGCATGATAAAGGGAAAAAGATCCATTCTAGTTTAAATTTTTTAGATCTGCTATTTCATTGATGTTGCTTGATGCTGCGGCTACATGGGGAAGACAACTGAATATATAATAAGCATGTGAGTCTGTGGTTTGTACATGTGTCAACAATCCAACGGTTCTCTACTAACATACAAAGGAAGACCTAATATCAAGTGAGATTTGTCTCATTAGGGGAGACAGCTTGCATGGAAAGCTTTCCATCTGCATGGTCCTATTTTCTGGCCAGCTTGGACATCTTTGACCGTTCCAAATGGTTTGAACATCTTGCTTCCTTAATATGCCCCCTCAATTCAAGCAATGGCTGAGAATCAACAATAAGTTTAGCTCGAAGCCTTGTGAAGAATTGACCACTCAAAGGTT